TGATATCACTAGAGAATAAAAACATAAATATGAGAATGATAATATAATGAATATATCAAAATGTACACATGTAAAAAAATTACATTTCCATTGTTAAAAAACGTTAATTTGGGTTTATTTTTGACAAGTGATTTAATCTAAATGAATAGATGCCTATATTAAACTTTGATTTTTTTTTTCTTTCTGCTAGCTGCAGTGTATCTAGGAATAAAAGTTAGTTGAAATAACAAACAATATTTGTAGTATATTGGACTACAGCCCATGATGCTACAACTTAATAAGGCTCCCAAGCCAGACATTTATATTTCCATTATTTTATTTTAGTAACATAATTGTGAGTTGACAAGCAAGTTAATCATCCCTCTCCCAATCTCTAGATACAGTAAACATATTCAACGTTCTACTTCTCATTTAAAAACTGGAAAGGCTGCTGAAAATAAGCATAGGGAATAAAGTAAACCTAGGACCAAAGATATCATGAAACACTCCAAATTATTACACATTATCATAGCCACTAGCACTCCTTAGTTTGTAAGAGTTTATGCTTTTCTAATATGTAAATAATAATCATATTGAATAATCCTACTGAATAGTACCAAGTTATATCGCAATATAATTATAAATCTAATTTATATTGGTTCTATTCTAGTCTTAATACTTGAGAATAAATCTATTACATGAGTATATCAAAAATAATAGCTACCTAATAAAAACTAGATTGGTCAATTATTTTGTTGAGAATAAGTTCTTGGTGACTGGAGAGGTACTGAGGTCCTATTCTGAATTAGGGACAAAGTATGATAAGACAACCTCGAGTAAACATGATTTACTTTGACATTCTCTACTCTCAATATTCATTTAGTTTATGAGGCCCACAAAGATACACTATTTATGATAATTGCTATTTTTTGGACCAATTACAGCCTACACAAGTAGTGTTAATCTTTATATTGAAAATTTGTAGTAAATACTGTAAGTCTTCTGTATATTTAAATGTTAATCCAGTTACTGTACTCTCTGACTTGAACTTAGAAACACTGAATCTTTGAGCTGGAAAACTGTCCCACTACCAAAGTGGAAACTCTCTTTGTGAAAACCTTAATGGATGGTGCAACTAATGTAATAATACATTATTATCATTTATATTAATTTTATGACTAGAATGTGCTACAATATGATCGAGCTGAAAATATAAAATCAAAATAGCAAAATATTATTAAGTGCAAGTGAAAATGTTGCATTTATGTCATGAAATATGCAGCCACATTTCAAATTCTGCCAAATCTTACTTGTTTATGTACTATAATTACATCATAATTACTAAAGAAAAAATTGGTTAATGATAGCCTGATATTAAAGAAGTAAAAATTACAGAAGCTAAGAAATGCAAGTTTAACCAGTTATTTTAGCTTGGAAGTGATGCTATGTATTCAAGTTATCTTACACATAACTAAGAAGACAGTGTGTACAGGTCACTTGACTGGTGGAGCTTATATCATATTTATAGCTGTATTATTTGCACTATTTTAAAAAGCCCATTCATAATTTATCTATATTATATACATTTAAGCAAAGATTTTATACCTATTAAGTAAATAACCCTGTTCTTGATTCTTAGATATGAAGACGAAAAACACATCATTTATGTGTATTGAATCTATGATTATATCTTAGTAAAGCTTTTGTTTAAAATGTTTAAACACTACATAAAAGTATAAATAAGTTAGTATAGTACTTGCTACTTAACAAAGGCTCAACAAATGTTTGCTGTGATTAAATGGAGGTTAGGCAAGGTTAGGTAAATTTGATCTGGTTAAGATCAAGGAGTAAGTAGTATATAATGGTTAATCACATATGCCATACTATGTATTGCTTATAAGAATCATCAATTTTCAAAGAATTGGAAAGCGATTTCTTTTAACCTGAAATCACAGTTTAAACTTTCACTTTTACTTATCTAGAATGCGTGTCAGGATTTCAGTGCAATTAGTATGGATATGATTCTGCTACAGTTTTTGTAGAGGGGCTAATTTATAGAGCTTTGTAGTTACAGGTATTAGCAAAAATTTTTACTCTGATTAGATAAATATTTTCACTTGAATCTGGACAATACCAACACATACTCTGAGAAGGAAGAAATATTCCTTTGCTTTCTCCAAATCACTCAAAGAAATTAGAGATTATGAGTTAAAGTTGCTCTACCTGTTAGAGGCCCTTGGTAGCTGCTAGTAAAAAGATAATCAGTTTTCATACATATAAAGGGCAATGACTTAACAAATCAAAAAGGTGCCCTAAAAATAGAGATGAGAGTGCTTGCCTGCTTCTTTTGCCCCATGTTTCCAACCTTGCCCCCTTTTGAGACATGTGACTGACAGTAAATTCCAACACGTAACAAATTTGCCTGTGGAATTGGAAATGTTATTTTGGCTTTCCCTGCTAAACTACCTTTCACTTCTGAAAGTGAGACTCTGATTCAATGCCTGATTCAATGTCAGATTCAACTATCTTTCACTTCTAAAAGTAAGACTCAGATTCAACAGACTATATATTTTAGTCTCAGACTTTACAGGCTAGCAAGGTTATATTTTATTTTTAAAAAACTATCAGGACATTTAAAAAGAACATTTATTTGTTGTGAGTATTAAAACAGTAGCATTTGCTCGATGATTTTACCCTCAATAAAGGAATCCTTGAACTAGTTACTTTCAAGTCATTTCTACTCCTGTTTCTAGTTTCTTTAATATATTAACAAGACTTACTATCTGTTTGGATATGCATTTTAGAATGTACGATACTACATTTAAAACATTTTAGGTGAACCACATGATTTTATTGTATTCTAATTATACCTATATATGTACTTCTGTTTGGTTTGTTTGATTCTTTAGTTTTTATTTTTTCTAATCACTAAATTGAATATTATGGCATAAGTAAATAAGTCATTTAGAATGTATATATTTATATTAAAATAACAAAAAAACTCAAAAAAACCTTAAGTGATTAGGTTATTAGCCAAAAAGGTACCGAGTTTGATTATATAGAATTTTAAGAAACAACAGTCTATTTGTGTTTTGTTTTCAAACATTGCTTCTAAACCACAGGTTGACCAATTACAATGATTCTTAGTTTAGCATGGTGGGAACAAGAGAGAAAATGAAACAGAAACCTGTGTGGTTAATAAAAGATCTTTCATCAGCTCTGACGGTGAAGTGCAGTTACTATTAGAACCTAAAGTGGGACCTCTCCTCTGAGAGACCTCTCTGACAGGAGAGGTCCCACTTGACATCATGTAAGTTCTTTATTTTTCTCTTTCCCTCAATTCCCAATAAGACTCAATGAGACAGAGAAAGAGAAATCATAAACATGATTCACATTACTGTACTACTTTCTTCTCTGGGTACAATATTTACTTTCACAGGGGAATCATCTTGCTTAGTTTGTATGGTAATAGAAATGGTATCTCAGATGTTGTTGTTAGAATACTGATTTTGGGGAAAAGGTGCCACATGGAGAGAAATAACTTACGCCTTCCATTAAAAATATAAACTCAGAAGAAAATGATAAGCATGCTTTCCTTGTGACACTTAACTATAACTGTATCTTTCTCAAAGTTTGAAGCAATATTATGGTACATTACTCAGTATTCTGTCAGAAAAGCTGAAACAATGTTTGAACAATTACAGTGTTGGGTTCCACTTCAATGGTTTCTTTTGAGAACTAAAGCAAATTAGCTCAAGAATCACCATTTCTACACTCTCGCTCTTTTGGCTTTAAGTGGCTTTTGAAGGCAGTGTCCCCAGATGAGAAACTTCTAACACTCCTGCAGAGATGACCTGCTTGAAGAACTGGCTGCCTGATTAACTATTAACTGCTCTCAATAGGATTAGATAATTAAGGACATTGATGACCATTAATTAGTAGGAGGGCACATTAATTTGTCACTGGATAGGGCCCTTACAATGATTTATAGGTTAGTGCTACTTGCAAATGTGAAGGGAAAGAGAAAAAGAGAGAGAACCATTAAGTTACCTTATCAAGTGGCCAGCTTAAAGAGGGCAGAGGGTCAAAAAAGGGCCAAAGTGGTCACTTAAGGGTGAAGTCCCAAACACCAAAGCAGTGCCAAGCCACATTGACCATCATTTGGTGATGAAGTTAAAAATATGCTAATTTATTGGTGGCAATTCTCTCTTTTTATGGTTTCAAGCAGTTAAGACAAGTGGCCTGCTTAGGAGCTTTTCATTTGAAAAGAGATTAAACAAAATGGTTTGTCAAGGCTGCTTGGCTGTTTTATGTCTTTGTTAAAAAAAAATTGTGCCGACTATACTGATAACTATCACATCACCCAAAAGCCATCTCTCTCTAAGCATTTACTTCATTAATAAATACATCAATTCTAATTGCTTAATAGTTCTCTGTTCACTTGCTCTTTAGCAAGATTAAGTTGAAATAAATCTTTTGTCCTACTACTTTCTGCCACCATTGCTTACGTAAGGGTCACAAAAAAAGTTGCAGTGTCTTAGAAAATGTACTTAAAGACACTAGTGTAAATTATAATTTGTTTAGTTCCACACGAGGAAAGGTAATTTCACTAATAGTAAAGAAAAACGCTTTTAAAATGTAGATAAGAATCCTCTTAGCCACAGACAATTATGGGTAGCATTCACATTCCACACGCAAGTAAGCACAGCTCATTAACATTTAATTAAATATGCTTTTGAAAGCCATGGAAATATGCATATCATATTTATCATGTAAGTTTGGAGCTTACTTTTAATAGATATTCAAAAGAAAATCATCTTTGCCATACTTGATATATTGTAAAAATAAAACAATAGTCTAAAAAATTATTCTGTTATATCAGAAGAACTTAATAATATTTAGCATAAAACATGTCCTAAGAATTTCATTAAATAAGTGAAAATAAAAATAAAATAAAGTAAAAATAAGTTAAAAATAACTTTACCTCAAGACTGTAAACTAAAACATAAAAATTCTCTTACCTCAATAGTGAACAGCTTCCTTTTTAATTTAAAAGCTAAGTCTTTGACATCTGATTCATCACAGATCAAGTTATTAAGCCGAGGAATCTGCCGTATATGAATCAAGCCTTGTGGAAAGGAAATTAAAAGAAAAAAAAATTAAACATTGTCATCGGATGCATAAATTAAATAGTCTTACAGCAGAATCCTGTAAATTTACACACAAGCATCCTCCTCTTTTAAAACTGGAGCTTACTACCAGGAGCAATGAAGCAAATGGTGTGATTATACTCAAGTAATCAAGCAGAATAAGATAAACAGAAATCCTTGTGCGACGAAAACTAATTGCACTTTGGTACAGAAGTACAGATGTAAAGAGGGATCTTAATACTTGTCAAAACTACAGCCGGTTTGTGTGTGATTTTCTCTTGTATTTACAGTAAGCAAATATGGCTATCACCTTGCATGCTGCCCACGGCACCACTGAGTGATCTTTATTTTATTAAATGCACCACTAAGCAGCCAGCAAAACAAGGCTTATAGGTTACTGATAACCAGTGAAGCACTCATGAAAAGTATTTCATTTTGTACCTTATTAATGACTTGAACAAACCATTGAAGAAAACTACATTTCAGGGTACACTCTAGGACCAAACGTTAACCCCTATGCCATCCCAAGACACTCATATCTATGGCATGTTAGACCTTTATGTAGCTGCTATAAGCTTTGCAACAGTGCTAGGTAAACCATGAGCTTTGGCCTCTTGTCAATAGAAACACTTGCTAATTTTTTCTGACAAGGGCACTGGATGGCTTTTGTGCAGCCTAATGTAGTTTCTGACTAAACTAGGGGTCATTTCCCACAGATGAAGACATGGAAGGTTCTTCACTACATCTTTCTGCCTGACTCAGCTCATATTTAAAAATTAACATCCCGAGGACACTGATCCAAAACACGGGGAGGAAAGGCAAATTACAGATTTGAACAAAGAGACAAATCTTACTTATAGAACTGCTTCTCTAGTACAAGGTTTTGTAAGTATGTTTAAATGCTTAATAATGCATCTATTAGTCTTAGCTTAAACCTTTAAAGGTACTTAGCTTGAGAAATGGCCTCTTCAAAAATAATTAACTAAAATACCTGACAATTTTTCAAACTTAAAAAAATGTAAAAGGTGTTTCAAGAAGACAGCTTTTAGCTACAAATTAAGACTATCTCATACATATTATTTAGTAAAATATATCTATTAGAAATAGGCACACCACACTTTTATTTGCACATTTCTTATTTTAACCTTAAATGTGCTTGCTTAGCTATCAAGAGACCTTATAGAATAAATTAATAATTTCATAATCAGGTCCTCCTTATTAACAGAAAGCATACTAGTCTTTAGAACCACTCATTACTGTGTGGAAAATAATTTATCAATTCAGAGATTTTTGCACGAAGAATCATAGCCTTTCAACCTTTGAAATACTTTAATCAAAATAATATTTTTCAGAACATAAAATATTTTACAAAATGCATAAGCTCATAATACTTGTCTTATAAAATCTGGTAGCAGGCTTCAAAGAAGCTATACTCAGTCTTTAGAGGTTTCCATAGAAGTATGGTAGCTCCATAATAATGGTAGCAATAATTTGTATATACTAAGAATAATAGGTAAAAATCTGTTATTCACTGCATTCTATATTTGGTTTAGACCTATAATACTTAGACCTAACTACTACATTTTTACTATTCATATAGTTCTACATAAGACTCTTTATTAAAAAGAATCCCCAAATTAACCAAATGACTACAATATTACTAAAAGTAAAAAAAAAAAAAAGTAGAAAGTCTGATGAATTCACCTGTGTTTATTTCAAGGTGGCAATATTTTATAATTTGTTCATAACTCAAACTAACAAGAAAATGAGTAAACAGAGAAAAGTTCAAATATAATGAAAGATCTTCTCTTTCTGAAAATGTAATTGACTAGGAATCTGTAAATATAATCCAGTATGTATCTTATTATACGGCTACGCTTTGTAAAGTATAAACTGCTTTAGAAAACTGTCATTATTAGAATACGGTATTTATTTCAAACATGGCTAGTAAGTATGACTGATTACACGGCTACCCTAAGACACTAGGACAACAAAATATACAACTGATTCAGCCATGCCTTAATACTTGGGTTTGACTCCTTTCAGTTATTATAGTCTATAGTCTTAATGTAGTTGGGTAATAAGCTGCCATGGAAGACTGGACAGGAATGGAAAACATTTAATAGGTGTATTGTAAAATTTATACTCCTTGACTGTATACATTTGGACTGAACAGGATGCTTCCAGGTAACCTAAAAGCAGCCTGCTCATGCTCTTCTCATTATGAAGGTTCTACTTACCATGATAATCCTTATACAATGGATTAGTTTCTCTCTCAGAACCAATAAATGATTCCAGACCAATTACTATATCTGACAAGTTTGTGACACGGGCAATAATGGCTTTATTCTGCAAAACATGGAAACAAAACAGTAACGTTAAATGTTATGTTAATAATATAGTATCTGTAAAATATCACTATGCCATCTCATGAAAAACTGTAGTAGAGATAGACTATCAACAGAGAAATACCTTAAAAGTTAAAGCTACTATAGGCAGAAAACTGGATGGAAATATGCCCTTAACTGAAAATGCTGGCCCATGTAGTCACGCTATTCTAATTTGAAGAACTGAAGGGAAAACATAAATTGGTAGAAGATATAAATTGATTAGTTCTGGTAGAGAACATAAATTGATTATTTTTCACTTGTATTAGGGAACAGGACTACCTTTATTCTCATACATGATTATTTTTCAAATTACTTCATTCAATGCCCATTGGAAAATCTGTCAGACAGCAGGATTAAGAAGCAGTAGATGGTACAGCATAAAGTATAGGGCAAGAGTCTCACTGTCGTCTGTCAGCTGGGACAAGGTCCCAGCCCTGTAACAGCTGAGGTCCTCTGTGACATATTAGAAACAGGGAAAGGACCAGCTAAGAGACTGCAACATGGCTAGCTATGGAGTCTTCTGTTTTCTCTTTCCAGATGCTGCCACTTGGCTCTGGGATAATAATAAAGGGAAAGAAAAGATGGTAGATGACTAACATTTAGACCAGTAGCCTACCCTTTATTTGTCGACACAATCTGAGATGAACTGAAATACTGCTAAATACATTTTAATAAATGTCACATTTTGCCAGATCAAAACAATAGGTTAATATGTTTACAAACATAGTATGTCCAGTTATTAAGTAGTAAAAGTTCTAAAATACTGAGAATCTCCTGGCTATAAAAATATAATAATCAAATATCTGGTAGGGTTTTTTTTTTAATTCTTTAATTACTGGAAATCGAGTATTCCTTTTAGCCCCTGACAGAGTGGTAGATCAGAAAACTGTGATTATATGCTATGATGTCTTAGACAATTTTTTGCTTAGCAGATCTAGATAAGTTGAAAATTTTTTTTGTAAAATTTTGCAATTTTGAAACTCTCGTTTTATACAATGGTAATGCTCACCAGTTTAAAACTAATCTTTGAATAAGAGAATGGGAAATACAAAACAGTCAAGAAAATTTATCAGCCTGCTATATCCCCTGTTAGAAAGAGGTCAAATATAAGAAGAGATTTTCATTTTCTGGAAACATGATTACAACTGAGCTTACTAATATTCCTGCTTCTTAAGTCCCTTTACAAAGATGGCATAAGAATGGAAAATTAAAGAGGGCTGGTCAATGTTACCTGACTTGGTATTATGAAACACATAGTAGCCTGTGTCACCAAACATTCTGTTGAAATGACTGGTTAACTCACACCTAGGGCAGTATTTGAAACTCCTTCATAAGTTGGAATGTTTCCGCGTTATATAAAGAATGTTTCAGCCTTTGGATCAGTGTTGTTAAAAAGAATTAGTAAAAATAATTATTCTTAATTGTCTTTAATATGTTCAATCACATGGGCACACTAAGTATAGAAAAACATAATTTGGAAATGCCTATTTTTTCTAAGGCAATTTTTCATTCAATGGTGAGAAAATAATCCAGATTGATTCCTTACTTTCAGTTCTGTGCCACAGGGGATGGTCCTACTCCAGGAATAACAGGGGCTTCAGAGGCCATAAACATGTTCCTCTCAATATTTCTTTAGCCAAAGACCATTATATCAAACTCATCCAGGTTGGGTTTCAGCCAGTTATTCTTCACCCAAACAAAAATGTCTGCCAGACATTCCAACAGCTGGGATACAGTTCACAATGAGTCAACTTGAAAATGATTCATTGTGCTGAGTATTGAACAATGTTGGGGTGGGGGTGGGGTGTGGCTGGGTTGATAGTAAAGGGTGAGAACAAGTGGGAGATGAAGAATAACCATGTGGTTCCCCCATTAAGAAGAATCATGGATAATAACCAGCAGGCTCTTATCATTTCATTTTTAGGATAAACTCAACTGGGAAGAGTACTCCTGTCATGGACCCTCAGATGAACAGGCATTTATAAAGGCTACTGACAATATTTCTTAATCAAAAGGTCAGATTTCCTTTTATCTATAAATAAAAGACTAAGCCTTTGTATCTAAATATCTGAATCTAAAATGATACAAGTTAATTTTTGTTAGAACTCATCTATTCAAGATTTAAGTGATATAAACTAGGACTTTCTCAATTATATGAATAATAGAAATTACAAGGTTTAAAGATGAGATAAATTTCCATTCTGAGAGTACATAAGCAAGGTACTGTGTATTTAAATTGTCAACCTGACATTTGCTTATTTCAAAGAGGATTTGCTTCTTTCATTTAATCTTAACATTTACTAATAAACCATTTTATATCCTATTATGTTTATCAACTTCATAAGTCTTTTAAAGGTAGTTTGTGGGAGACTTAAAAAAATCAGTTATCCACTTCAAAAGGGAAAACTAGTGAATTCTAAGTAAAAAATATGTACAGCCTAGATTTCAAAATTTTCCAGAAACTCATTCATGTATTTCATTTATTTCTGAGTTTCACAGGTTTGCATCATAGTTATTAATCATAAACTAAAGTCTATTGAAAAAACTTTCATAAAGTATTAATACAAGAATAACTTCTAATCATACTATTACCACAAAATTAGTTATATAGTTTCACAGTGATCTTACTGCTTTCTGCACGTTTATTTTGCAAAATTGTTTGCATAATGTGGCAGACCAGATTAATTGTGAAAGTTGTGGGGATATCTGAAAAACACTTATAGAATAAAAAGCAAAGGAAATTATATAAGAATAACATCTAAGGTTCTGACTGAGAAAATGTTTATATTTACTATAAACTTATTCAACCTCCTAGTTATGTGTAGGAGCATAAAAGACATTTGGGCTTATAAACTTACATGTGTTTTAAAAAGTTAAAAAAATTGTTACAGATTACTTCTGCACCTCCAAGCTTCATAACGAATATGATCTATTGATGTAATCTTACCTTAAAACCATTCTTGTCAAAAGGTCTTTCAAATAATAATATTAATACTAAACAGTCTTTTAGATAAAAGCAGGTGAATTTACTTAGAAGAATCTAAAATTAACAGCTTAAAAAACCCATAAAAACATAATAATCACAATTCACTTTAGCAGGAATACACTATGGATAATAAATTGTCATAATATAACCAGCAGTGTTCAGAAAGCTTTAGCATAATGATCTGAGGACAGGCCTTGAATCTGGGAACATCCACATTCTCATCTTAACAGATTCGAAGTGTTTTTATGTTATTAGCCAAGATGTAAAACCCCTTTGGTCTTCGGTATATTAATAGATAGAAATGGACAAGTAGAGGTATTCGTACATCAATTACTTAAATTTGAACATAATCTTTGCATTAATTTTGAAGTTGTTACAATACAGTTTCCAATATGGAACATTTCAGTAAGGACATTCAGAATTCACCAATCTGGGTAAATTAATGCTTATGGTGTATGTATGGTATAATGACATCACCCAAGTATGTACAATGATATTGCCCCCCTCCTCCTTGCCCATCTGGATGTGAAAATGTAGGATGGCTCAAAAATCCTTCTTATCCTAGACAAATCTCCCTGTGCTCCTGGGTGAAAGTTGTCAGCTCTGGACAGTAGCCAAGACATGACTAGGAGGGAAGCCAGAAGAGAGGAAAGCCAGTGTCCAGGAGTTTTAAGAGTTTGCTGGCAATCTCAAATAGCATTGTATTAAGTTACATAAAGAGCTCTTAAAGTTTTCTGTTGCAACATAATTTAATTAATCATTTAAATTTAAAATTCGTCAAATGGTGTTGCAAATAAGCAAAGCAAATCAGATTGTCCAGTCTTCTACCTTTGTATTTCAATTTTAATTTCAAAAAAAACCTTCAGAGCATTTGTTTTGACTGTTTTCTGTTTGGTTTCATAAAATGTTTCTTGTTTGCCATTATAGAATGGTAATACATTTTTTATTAGGATACAACGAATCTGTTAAATGGATTTTAAATTAAGGAAGATTAATTTAATGCTCCCTTTCAATTCAAAGTTCTTAAAGTCAAAACTATGAATTTTGTTAAGAGATAAAAATTTAATCACTGCCATTTAAAGCTCCCACAATTTTCTAATAAAAATAGTTCAGATACCTATTTAGAGTTACCAAGTAACAATCAGAATACCTTAAACCCTCAATATTTCTTTATTTTCCCAGACCTAATTATCTCAACAATATAAAAGATGTAATTTGTACCAATACAAATATATTTCCAGAAGAAATTTTAGTAAGAGGATTAAGAAGTGATTAACCAATAACTTAATTATCAAGAAGCTTGAAAGGAATAAACCAATCAACATAAAGCATTTATGCAACGCCTCAAGTAAGAGCAAGTTCTTCAGTTACTCTATACTATTTAAGAAAGACAGCAAAAATAATATGAAAGGAAGAGCTCTCATTTGAGTACGGCACAAATATCAGATTTGGGGCTATAATAGCGTGAAAGCACTATTAAGTTAATGTTAAAGACTTAGAGAAATATTTAAGTTACTTTATGTTTGACCATAATACATGATGTAGTGGGTGTGTGTTGGGAGAGAGCGGGGAGGGGAATCCCCACAATAAAAGCAAGTATGTCATAATCAACAGCTCAATTTATAACAACATTTTCTGAAAAATGACGTGCATAGAACACGAATATAGTAGAACTTAAGACCTTTCTTTGTTACATAATCCAAAAAATAAGCTTGGATCCAAGGATAAATCTGGGGATATTTAATGAGACATTTATTTTTCCATGCTTATTAGGTTTTCCATTCCACAGAAATCAAGACTATGAAATAATAAAATCATTTATACTACATTTATAACTTTTTACAAACTTGCCCCACTTCCTCCAGAATTGTCACTTGCTTCTGTGGATTATATTTTCATTTTATTAAAAATATTTGATAGTGGGAAAATAATTCTGTTCATAATTATGAGATTTAGAATATTTGTAATAAACT